CTAACATTTTGTATTTAACAGTTTGAGTAAAATGAACAGATCAAATATGCATTGAATGGCATACTCTTAATACGGGGATAAATCAGTTAAAAACCAGAAAGATAAGCATACAGTGGGCCTGCATTAAAAAATTATATTATGAGCTAGCTCTTGTCTGAGGCCAAGATCTGAAAGTGCTACAACTGTTTTCTGAGTTCATCTGCAGCTTCTTTTACTGCATTCATGCCAAATTCATACAGATTATGAGAAAATTCAGCAGATTAGGCCTTTAATCTGGAATCTCCAATCTAAATAGAAAAGCATCAGATATGGCTATGCTGCTCAGGGTATCAGGGTATCTAGAGAACACTGAGGTTGATATCCTAGCTTGAAATTTCAGATCAGGCTCTCTGCCTTGTACTATGAAGAATTTATTCCCTGCTACAAGAGTTTTTTTCCACACTTTGCCTAACATAAATTTCTATTCCTCTCCATTCTCATTTTTAAATTCCTGTCTTTTTAAGACGTCTCTTGTGAAATTAAAGAGGTGCATCATATTCTTGCATCACATCCTGAGCACAGTTAGGCTTTGCTTTACACCGAGCTTTTAGAAGACGCTGCCCGCACTAGTCTGTCTCCCGAACATTTTACCCAGGGCATAGGCAGCTTACACCTTCTGAGGCAATTACTATACTAAGTATGTATTACAGTGATGTATTTTTCCCAGAAACCAAAAATAAAGGTATAAAAGAGATCCACACAATAATTCATGGGCGTTAACATATGGGTGTAAGTTTCTCTGGGGATAATTATGTGACTGTGCTAATAATGCCAAGGATGCTTTGATACATTAAAAAAATTCTCACAATGATGTTCTTGAGCATTTCATTACTGCCAGAAGTCAGGAGCATATATATTTAAACAGGAAGGAGGGATGAGAGAGGCCCATATGCCTTCATAAAAAAAACCCTCTCGCTTCACACCGCGGGCAAGCTGAGGAAGCCCTGTTTGACACAGGTGCTTACGTTAGATGTGCTTACTGGAAACTTCCCGTTCTGAGAGCAGGAAACTACACAAAGTGCGCTGAGAGGGGAGCAGCACGTGTGGTTTGCAAGGACAGCCGGAAGAACGGGCATTACTGACAGCGAAACGATCAAAACCTCCTGCCTTTGCAGGACTTCTGTACTTTTTAAAAAGTGCAACCTAGCACACTTTGAAGCAGACTTTGCTGTGGCTCAGGAATACACCTGCAAACCTCCGTGACAAGTCCAAGTGCCAGGCTAAGTTAGCATGCCTTGGAGAAGGGAAAGTTCCCAGCTCAGTCAGAGAAATTTCTCGCAAAGCTTCCCTTGACGTGCTGGCAGCCGGCTGGCAGGGAGCCCCAGGTGTCCTTGAGAAATTCTCCAACACATTGCTTGTCACTCCCATCACGAGGGCTCAGTATATTTGCAGTCGCTGCGGAGAGACCAGAAGCAAAGCCACCGTAAAGGCTGTCCCCTGAAGTGGGCTCGGGCTGCGACGCCTGCGCCTGTTTTCCAGTATTGTAATTGCCCAGCTGGAATTAAACTTCACACAGTTTAAGGTTTTACGCCTTCAATTTTTTTTATTTTTTTTAGCTTTTCTTCTAGCGAGGCTGATGTCTAATCCTTTGACCTCCTGCATTAAGTCTGTGTAAAAGCGCACTCTTCCAACACCGCGAGCCACTACCCTAATGACCCACAGTTACTGGTGTTCTAGAAGCATCTGTGGGGATACAGGGGTTTACAGGAAAATCATCAAGGCAATTTTTGGAGCAGCGACAGGGAGACAGAGTTGTTTGTGCCCTTGCTCTGGGACGGCAGTGGCCGTGGCGAGGGTAGGAGACGTCCGGGCGAGCGGCAGGCGTGTATTTCGAGAGGCCCTATTTGCATTTCCTGCCCCTTGCGAGCTTGTCAGGCGTGCTGGGACCGAGTCTCGGCTTGTGGAAATGATTACAAGGCAATTTATACCAAACAACAATCCCTGCTGTTGTGTTTGTTACAGACTTGGCTGCGGTACAGTAATGTTTAGTGGATTAATAATGTCTGCTTTTGGCCTCTCCTACTCCCTCGGCAAACAATTTTCATGTATAATACATGTTCTCATTTAGTCTAGCTAGAACAGAGCCCAAGGGTCAGAATAGCCATACCTGCACGCTGAGGAGAAGAGACTCTGGGTTTCCAGATGAGAGACCAGCTCTCTCCCCGCTCCGTGCCAGGGTCCAAGACTTCTGCCCTTTTGCAGGATCAGCTTTGCTGGGCAGGTCCCCCTGAAATCGCAGAGCGGGCAGCGCCAGATGTCCCCTTCCGCAGGAGAAGGGCTGTCCAGTCACAAGGGTTGCGGTGGGCAGCCAAGGCAGCACAGAATCACTGGAACAGGCAGATATTTGTTGAGCATTTGGCATTTTGAAAAAGAACAGCACATTTTAACATTACAAACTATAACTATATATATATAAAAATATGCAAAAATAAATATTTCACACCGATTGATCACAGTGCATGCTGGGAGGGCATATGAGGTTGAGTAAGTGGCGTACGGTCTTGCCTTCGCACAGGAAGCCTGAGTGTTACAAACCCTTTAAAAAATCTGTATGGTCTATCTTGTTGATTATCAGTCTCTTTTGGGAAATAAAGAGTCTGCCCATATTTCATAATGTGTGTAGCAGAAATGCCGGGATATGCAAATACGGAAGTTACACAATGAAAGCAAAACTGCATTAACATTGTTTACAGTCAAAAAATGAAAGACCCAGAACTGCAGCCTTTTTATTGCTACACCACTGAAATGAGCGTGCGCACAACCTGGCTATTGAGTTGCTTGTAATGTTGTAAGGAACCACTGTTTCTCTCCGTCTTCCCACTGCTGTTTATGCCTCTTCAGTAACAGCTAAAACGGAGGCTACCAAGCTTGGATATAATGAAAGAGGAATGTTGTAAGTAGTCTTGTGAAGCTTTGCGACAGCTGTCGATTGATCAAATAATTAAGAATAAATATCAGCACTTCAAGTCAAGTGATGGACTGTTGACTTTTGGCCTGGAGAGCAGGGCTGTGGCAACGCTGTTGTGGCAGGCGGGGGGGAGATATTGAGCTCTGTGACCCAAATGCGGTGGCTGAGCATCTACCTTAGGAAATGCAGGTTGTGTCACGGGTCCGGGTGCCCTCCGATGCACCATGGTGAACCTCGCCAGCGGTATCTCCGGTGAAGGATTTCTCACCATTCCTGTACACCAAGGTCATGCGCGGGCACAACATAAGAGTTCAGACAGGTTAGGTTAGGTTAGCATCTGCCATGAAAAAGTGGACAAGAGAAATGAGTTTTATCTTGGCTTATCTGAGCGATGCCCTATCACCCCACTGCTCGGCCTTCTGTGTCACTGGCAATTTTCACTGCCACAGACAGGTGTTGCTTGACCACAGCTAGTAAAACAACGAAAAGTAGATATGTAAAACCATTTGACAAGCATCAGAGAAAAAAACATTATCAAGCAAACTATTTATCAAATGTTAGTTGGTCATATGCAGGGAAAAGGAAAAGCCTTGTTTCGTGCAGAATATCTAAACTATCTACATTATTTTCACTGAGCTGTGAGACTCAGGTTTGCCTTCAGTCCAGATGGACTACATATAAAATCCATTCCTGGACAATTCTCCTGATTAAGCAGGCCAGATACATTATATTTATTCCTTCAAGGAGTATGCACAGATGTTTTCTGAAATCAATTTGTTTGGTACTTTGTACACTTTGTTGTTTGGCTGATATTTCAGGCTGAAAAGGGAAGGAAATCTTTGACAACTTCTTGCGATTGTGGGGCATTTCTTTATAGCTACTTCCTTTGAAGACACTGTTGTGGAGAATCAGTGGTATGAACTATGAACACAGCAAAACAGAAATACTAGTGGGACAGGCAACATTTCAGACCGGAGTTTATATTAGCAATTCAGAAAAAAAAAAAATACAACTAAAAAAAAATACTTAGGAACATATTAAATACAGACACACTTTTGAAATCTGAACCCAAGAGTGTATCAGGATTTTGCAAAGTAGCTTTGTCTTTATAGCAAGTCTATGCAAACTTCAGTCCTAAGCCTGAGACTGGAGGTATTGAAAATTAACAGCCACGTTTGTTGTAGTGTGAAAATGTAGGTGAAATAACATCTTCCTTCAAATATTTTCTTCTCTTTTCAATTGTTTTCCTGTCTCCATTTTTCCTTTGACAGCTATAAAACATTGTAACCAACCACAACTAACTATAAAGATGGAAGAGGGAGACTGTAAACAGACCATTTTCACTCTTAATTTATTTTGCTTATTCATATTTTGGACATGTTTATTTGCTTATAAGATTGCTGTACATGAATAAAAGCACTAGAAATGCTCCCAAGCCATTGGTTACAAATGATTTAAAGCTCATTTCTTCTCTAAAAATCAATCACGTAAAAATGAAGCCTTCCTGTCCACAGATCTACTCGTCTCCCTGCCTGTATCCAATTACGTCAGCTCTTTAAGAGATTCACCCCAAACGGAGCGGAAACGCTGCGACTGATCGCAACAGCGCCTGGAACACGGGGCGATTTTGAAGCATTTTGGGGTACTTTTCTCTTGCTAACTGCCCAGCCCCGACAACCTAGTTAACGAGACGGGTTTCTGTTGTTCCTCCCATCCCACGTCCAGCATCAGGCACAAGTCCCCCCGGGGACGCCTGCCCGCGGTCGCTCACAGGGACGTGCTTCGGTGCAGCCCGGGGTGGCAGCGCCTCGGCCGAGAGCCGGGGAGAGAGCAGAGCGTGGCTCAGCACGCGCGGAGCCTGCTGGTCCAGCACCCGGAGAAAAACAGCCATAAGTTACCTGCAAACCCTCTGCTTTTCTAGCTAACAAGGTGGAGGTCTAACACAGCTGGCGACTCACAGGGCCATTTTTCAGAGTGAAAATGTAGTTTAAGGGAGAGGCTTGCTACGCTTTCTATGTAACGAGGGGCTGTGCTGTTCGGGAGGAATGGTTCATTATATCAATGTGGAAGCATCAGTGCAACTTTCATACTGGATTATCAAGTGTCTGAAGGCTTTGTAGATGTCTTCGTTCTGCGTACAGATGAACCCACCGCTTCTCCAAGCCTGCTCAGCAGCGCGGTTTAAGTCTCCGATGCAGGTCCACTGATCTTTGTATTCCCTTGAAACAGCCCATTTAGAATGATCGTTAATGGAATAAAAGGTGGAATTCAATGGCATCTCTATTAGGTTTATGTTGTAGACGTAGTAGTTGAGAGAGCAATTTGAGGGAAGTTTTTGGCCGGAATGCTGCCAGGATTCAGCCAACAAATCAGTCTTCAGCTCCTGAGCCACCCAGGCCACGTAGATATCTGTGGAATAACACAGGGTGCAGGAAATTAGTCTTTCACGTTCCTTCGTTAAAGAGAGGACTGAAAAGCATTGCCTAAACTGGGCTAGTTTCATTCCAACACATAAAGTGGGGCAAGAAGGGATTTTGCCCCCTCCCCTTATTTTGACTTTTGTTTCAGAAGTTCATTTCTACTTTTCCTCTTTCTCATGGAAAAAGTGTTGCAAACAATCAGCGGGAAAAAAGGAAAGGAAAAAAAATTTCAAGCCTTCTTCAAAACAAAAAACCCCAGATGATTCAAACCCCGTTTTTGTTCTTTGTTGTTACTGTTGAATAGCAGGAAATAGATTTTCTGAAAATCCCATTATTGAACACCTTAAGAAAGTGTTTGAAGGACCAGACAGCTTTTTGTTTTGTGGGGCTGAAAGAATATTATGACGGGACACCTTTCCCTGCCCTGTGTTACATTTATTTCTGAAGCTGAACTTTTTTTCCCCTCAAAGAAAATACTAATTGTCAAAGAATGTATTAATCACTTATGACTTCTTGAGAATGCATGATAGATAGAGCAACGGGCTCTCTTACCGTCTATGTACAAGTGTGACTTTGCAAAGTGGAGAAAGGTTTCCCCGTGAGCTGACTGGAGTTTGGAGAGGTGGCGCAAGGGGGCCGAGGGCAGCCTGGACCCTGCACAGAGCTTCTGCAGGTTTGGGAGATCAGCTTGGAAGATGTTAGGGATGGAACAGCTGTAGATTGCTGGATTATAACTCAGCATCTGTTGGTCTGAGAAAAACCCAAAGAAATGAACACATGCAGAAAAAATAGGTTAAAGCAAAGGAATCAAGAGAGTAAAGTTCTGCCTTGGAAAGGGAAACCTAAATCCTTCTTAATCTTCACAGGCTATCTCCTGGGAGAGTTCAGTGTCAAAGTATCTTATTTTAGCAACCAAAACCATGTTCAATTGCTTTGTATTCTGACTGGCCCTGTAGCACGTAAACTGGCTGTGAGAGTATGCTCAGGTTTCTCCTCTTACACCTCATTATTCTTAGCAGAACTGTTAACCGGTGCTCTCAGCCCACTGCCCCTTCCACCCATGCTCATCTTCAAGCCTCTAAGCACGCAGCGCTCAGACGGCATAGTAAATTCAAGCCTGTCCATATTTACAGCAGTAGTTTCCAGGCAGTTACGGTTGCCAAGCCAAATGCAAACAGAAGAGCTGCCAAAGGGTCTAGTTTGGTTTTAGGGAGAACAGAGCTTGACTTTCAGCGTCTGGATTGAATTAGCAGAAGAAAATTACTTTTCTGTACAGTGCGCAGCTTAACTGTAGAAGTCCTTGCCACGGATATGGTAAACAGCAAGGGAACAAATGGACTCATTAGATGAGTTCATGGAAGACCAGTCCATCAGGAACTTTCCAGTCGTTCCGGCTCAGGAAATTCCTGAACCACAGATTACCAGAAGCTGGGAGGATGGAGCAGGAAAAGCATTACTGTATGCCTCATTTTCTTGTCCTCTTCCCCTAAACACATGCATAGATGCGCTTCCACAAACAGGAACCTGGTTTAGATAGCTCTGGGGTGTGGCCATCCTGGCCATCTGCACAGCTGATGTGTTTCATTAATACCATTTGAGGCTTGTAACTGAGAAAAGAGTGAAAAATAGTGTGAAAGCGTTAAGGAACACACCAGTATGACTTCTTGTAACGCCTTTTGACAGTCCCTTTTCAGGATTCCAGTACCAGATATCGCTGTCAGATTGTTCTGAATCTTACGGGTATAGACTTAATTTTTTTTTTATTTTTAGTATTGGTATTTTATCTGGCAAAAGGTACCTGGGGAAATTCTGGGTGATATTTATTCCATACTTCATATTTCTGATGTGTCAAGGCTACTACTCCAGCTCAAGCAGTGGGTACTTTACATTTTTAGAACTGCAGATGATTGCAGCTGAACGAGCTATTACTGTTAAAAATTATTAACCTTATATTTCCAAAGCATTTTGTATGCATGGACACAATTTACCCTTCATATGCACTTGTGACTACTATTATCCCAATAATCCCCATGGGGAGACGGAGCCAGAGTGGAAGAGTGAATTTCCCACATTCACACAGGAAATTGTTGGATAAACATAACCGAAGCCAAGAACGCTGTTTCCAGGCCCCACTTGGTTTCCCAATCCGACAATGAAGGACAAGAACAAGCAATTTTTGAGGCGAAGCCTCAAGCAAAGCAGTCAGAGAGGTGCGGCGGGGCAAAGGCTTTTTTAGTGAGAAGCTTTTCATACCTATTTCTGTGAACTGGTCATATTTGAAGGTTATACAGATGGCTGTCTGCCCGTAGGACTCCCCAGTAGCTGGATACCCATAACCATCCTCAGGGATGGGAGGGAACAGGGGCACGCTGTGAATCACCCAGAAGCCTTGTGATTTGTCCAAGAGCAGAAATCCTGTCAAAGAAAAGTTATTGCAAATGAATTAAGGGGGGAAAAAGCCCTGAGACGATACAGCTGTGTCCTACTTTGGATTTGCTGCTGCAGACACCACGCTTCAGTGTGTTAATGTCTACAGTAAACTGGCTCTACGGTTAGATTGATGGATTGCAGGAGACACTAATAGTGTATTAAAATGGCATTAATTCTCTCCTGCATAACCTAACTCAAGCTGTCACCACTTTTCTTTTGAAAAAAAAAATTTCAAAACCTTTTCTCTTTCTCTGCTCAAATGTTATCTTCAAGTTTAGTGATTTAGTGGCTGTGACCCTCCCTCCACTGCTCACTTTCCTTCGCTTCATATATTCACTGCGTATGGGGAAACAGACTCTGTCAGCACCGTATCTTCTTCCCCAGACCAAGTTCTCCTCCACGGGGAAGCAGCGGAGACGGGCTATGCCTCCCCTTGCAGCAGGGTGCTCTGGGGAGGAGCACGGCTCCTGAGCCATCCCCGTTGCTGCAGCCTGGAAATACAGCCCTGCAAAATATCTTCATCCCAGGGCCAGGCTGGGCAAACCCTGGCTGCTTCCTCAAGGGAGCATTTAGACCTCCACTGTAGTTTACACTTATCTGAAGTCTTGCTTTGCTTTAACTGCATACTTCAGCGCTTCCGTGATCTTGGCAGCAGTTTCTTGCCCCAGAGAGAGGAAGTTTGGAGGGGTTTATGGTTAGGGTGCCTTTCCCATCACACCTTGTACTGCTGTTGCCATCAGGCTCAGGACGATGTGGGCTGTACTCGCTGAAAGGAGCTACATGAGTTTCAACTCTTGAAAACAAAGGGTCCGTAAGCCCTAAGAGTTCTCCAACGCAGCACAGGCATAGCAAAACCAAAACAGAAGCTGCAGCATATATAACTATACAACAAACCACGCATCATGCAAATTGTGCTCCAGTTTGGCTTCAGGCAGGAGTTTTAGATATGCAGATGGACAAACAGACAAGTAGAAGCTATCCACAACTTTAGAAAGGAAAAAGTATGAGCTTGGGATTCTCCCTGTACCTTTGGTATGTCCTCTTTTCCACCCGTCGGAGTCTGACTCGGGGACCTCATCGTTATATATCGCATATGCAATGCTGTTCCTCTGCAGGAAAACAGACATGTCTGAAACATGACATTTCTGAAACATGACATTCAGTAAAAGGAAGGCATTTAAGTGAACATCTTCTGCTGGGAAGAAGAGAGAGAATTCAGGACTTCTCTGTGTGAACATCACGAGCCTAATCCTTCTCCCAATTCAACTGACACACTCTCCGCACAAGTTACAGTAAAATAAACCTGAAGACTCAGCATTAGGGTCCCAGTTAATATAAAGTGGAAATTTTCTCAGTCATTGTAGCCCTTCCTCAAGAAGTCAAATATGCTTACTAAGACAATTTACATGGGCTTGCAAAGAAGTTCCCCCTGCTTTTTTTGTGCCTCTCTCTGGTTTAGCAACCAGATCCAGTGAAAATATTTGCTGTGTAAAAATAGACACGACAAGTGTTCTTATGAAGGAGAAGCAATTAATGCTTTTTTGCAAGATATTTGCATATGGCTGCACCTTATTCCCCCTGAACAGAGAACTTCAAAGGAGTTGGGAAGTGTTTCCCCTCCCAATGTACTTTGAGTTTGTAAACAGTTTATTACCATTACAGCAAGACCTGGAATAGGACAGCTGATCAGACTGCCGGTATTTGACTGACTTCTGGCGATCTCTTCTACATACAAATTAATGACACCCAACCACTAACCCACAGCAGAAGTGCAAAGACACACCCAGGCTCCCAAGAATACTATGTAGATGGTAAAAAAATAACTATAGGCAGATCTTGTGGTATTTTATAATCGCTTCACTTCACACAAATATAAATGAGGTGTCTGACTGGGGGGTGGGGAAAAAGGCCTAACAAGCAGCGTGTCACTGCTGAAGCAGTCACGGTGATTTCAGGGGGAGGGGGGGGAAAGCAAAACCCAGATTTGATTTGAGACAGAGCATGAGACACATGCACATGGCTGGGCTTAGGATGTGTGTCTGGAACAGGGACCACCGGCCCTGCTCTGAGTTCACAGCCAGTTCACAGCTTCAGACGTTGCTCAACATGAATTGCAGGGAAGCCAGAGGGACTATGTATGAACGCTCATTTTCTTGATGGGCAACACTTTAAGTGTGTGAAAGGCTTGACTAGAAATTAGAAGTTCGAGGATAATTTATAATTGTAGCCAAAACTGCAAATAATCTGCCCAGCTCTCAAGACGCTCCCCTTGACATGTTTTAGTAGATCTAGTCGGTTGGGTCCAGCCGTACCTCTGTGTGCTTATTTTGGCTGGTTTAATTTCATTTGCATGTCGTATCAAGTAAGCGTACTAACAAATAATTAAATGTCACTTGCCTCGGATTCATACGTCTCGTACAGCTGCTTCAGTGTTTGTCCCAGAGCACCCTGTGTCATGTTGATGAGGTATTTACCAAGCTGCCACTGCGGAGCCAGGGCGTCCATGTACATGTATTCCAGCCCCAGCATGGGAATCTCTCCTTTGGCATGTTTTGGCAACTTGTAAAGAGCAAACCTGCAACAGTGAAGAGCAATTAGACTGGATATAAGGAAGAAATTTTTTACAGTGAGGGTGGTGAAGCACTGGCACAGGTTGCCCAGAGAGGCGGTGGAGGCCCCATCCCTGGCAACATCCCAGGCCAGGCTGGACGGGGCTCTGAGCACCCTGGGCTGGTTAGAGCTGTCCCTGCTCGCTGCAGGGGCTGGGCTGGATGGGCTCTAAAGGTCCCTTCCAACCCAAAGCATTCTATGATTCTATGACTCTGTGATTCAATTGGTTTTTTACAACCATCCTGTTTGAATATGTAAATCAGTATCTCTTTCCCACCTGAGGATTTAAGAGAAGGGTGACGCCTGCGTTGGAGGGGAACAGGTGCCGCCAGCACGTGGTGTGGACGTCTCAGCCTTGAGGAGGTGACCTGGTGCAGGGACCAGCAGCAGGTTGGCAGCACAGTACCTGCTGCAGACAAATCTGTTCTGCTTCTTAGCAAGCACGGGAGGCTGATTTGGCACCAAACTCCTGTTGCTGTGGCCAGACTGCTGTTGGTACCCCGAAAGAATTTGAGAGAGCCCTGGTTTGGAGTCCCGTTTAGCCACCAAATCCCTATTGCTCCTGGTTCTGGTAGAGAACCTCAGGTCCCAAACTCAGTCTGACCTTCTCATGGTCAACCTGGACACCTCTTACTAATACATTTTTATATTATATAAACATAAATTCATATGAAATAGATAACATTATGTATTAAAATTATAAAAATGCATAATATTATATTTACACATATTAAACCCACAAAATAAGTATAAAGCCATGTGATAATGTTGTCCCAATCCTACTTTTCAAACAGACTCGCATGCTGCTGAACTGTTGCAGACTGGATATTTGCAAATCATTAGCCAGAAAATCTTTTCAAAATTGGAGAGTACTCAATATTGTCAGTAAATGGCTCAGTTCATATTAAAGTCCCTGATGAAGTAAACAGGCTTTCCCAGTGCACAAGTCCATGGGATTAATTGCAACAGAATTAACTGAGCCACTTTCTTTGAGTGTTGTACTTGAGTAATTTGTTATTTATGTCAATAGGAAGAACTGAGTGGCATTATTTTCAACCCTATCCTATTTACCAAAAATGCAGCCTGACTGTGCTTAACCCTTCAAGTATATCAGGAGGAGTGAGCCTTGCCCAGTTGATTTACAGTCTCAAGTTGGTCAAAAAAGGCATCTCCAAAAGCAGGTAAGAAGGGGCAGGAAAGCATTTTACCAGAGGAACATTTAAGCCACGGGAAAAGTACATGTACAGGCAGAATGGAAACACACAGCAGTGGAGATCTTAGCAATCTACCTGCATTGCCACTGACTGAGTGATGTTCCTTAAACACCTCCGGAGAAATTGTTGCTGATGACAGATCACAGAGAAGAGAAGGAATCGATTTATGTAGCAAGGCTGGGGAGAGCTGTCCATGCACGAGGAGTCACAACAATCCCTTTATTTGAAATGAAGATTTGGAAAGGAGAGGAATAGCGGTAGTTAGAGTAGTACGAGCTGATCTAGGAATTAGTATATGGAGCCTTTCCAAACTGCTTTGAAATGTATTGGAAGATTTATGCTCTCAGGGTGTTCACAGCCTTGCATCTGTAAGCAGGTGTGCTTACAGGAATGCTAGCAGCGGAGCTATCAGTAAATTGCTTGCCAATTCCCAGTGGATACATGTTTTGGCCCTTTCCAGAAAGCCAGCTGAGTGCATTAACAATTAAAGTTGTATAAAAGTCTTCACTGCTATTTGTGCACATGAAGTTTCTCAAGAGCTTAGGCATTTGTGGGAGCAGACTGGAAGTTACTTTGCTGAGAACCAAGGAAAAGCAAATCCGTTTACACCTGATTAGCACTGTCACATTGTTTGCTTGTGACTGAGCACAAACTCACTACAAATAATCACATGTTTACTTCTTAATCACATCGTTGCTTCTTCCTCCCCCCGCCCCCACCCCCCA